TCAAGTAATAAAGATGGCCTACAACGAATGGTCCACGCTTTAGAAGCTAACGCAGAAAAGTTTAACCTGAAAATATCAGCACTAAAAACAAAGCCCCTCGTGATTGCCAAGGACCAAGTGGGGCGCAAAATTGTAATAAACGAAGAAATAATAAAATAAGTATCATAATTAAACTATCTGGGAACGCAAATATCGTATTATGGAAACATCTCCGAAGCAACCCGCATACGAGCTAATAAATCAGCTTACGTGTCAGGATGCCTACGAGACATCATATATCGGGAAATGAGAACATGAGAATAGAAGGAAAAACACGCATATGTACGACCGATATTAACGTATGCTATAAAAGCAAGAGCAGAAATAACAATTACAAAGAAAATCTTAAGAACAACAGAGAAAAACAATGACGGCGATAGCAGCTAAAACTTTAAAGACAAAATCCCTAACACACAAATCAGAGACATTTGTAAAGTACATGATATCGTCAGATGGGGACGCCAAAGAAGACGAGAATGGAACCAATGTATTAACAGAATGGGAAGAGAGGGACTTGTCCGAATAGTAAGAGATGGAAAACCAGAAGGTAAAAGACCACAAGGCTGACCTAAAATATGGAGGGATAGCTGGCAGTCAACATCGTAAATACTGCTAAATCAGACCAGAAACAACAGGCCTTAAGGCCTAACAACCGAAGAAGAAGAAGGCTAGAAAATAAGTAGTTAGCACTCGATAACTAATAATTTTCTACAATACTGCGTACTGGAAAGGTTAAAAGAAAAGTCATTGTGACGTCTTGATGACAAGTGGATAATATCAACGAAAAAAACGATTAAGTAGCCGGTTTCTTCGACTGAATTAGCCACAAATAAGTTTTTCCATACGGATATGTGGACAACAAAACGTATGGTTTCCTTCATGAAATAGCTCAAAATTGATAAGTCTGACTGAAGTCGTCATTGACATCATTTTATGACCATTTAAGAATTTGCAAGGCTGAAAGAGGTGACATTTTTATAACAATATTAGTTCAAGGAGTATTTTTTGAATAGTGGCTTTTATACTGAACGTTACTTTGGATGCCCTGGGTAATGGGTAATGGGGCCCTCTGTTTTACTTTTGTGTTCGAAACCTTTTTTCACCAGTATGGCTGTGCCTCCTGAATTAGCCCTGGAATCATTTCTGTAGACATCATAGCCCGGAAATTTTGTTTTTATTTTTTCCGTTATCTTAGTTTATTGTAAAGCTATGATGTCTATTTTAAGTCTGTTGGCAAACCCGTCCAGTGTGTTGATTTTCTGTCCGATTTTCTGTTCCGATTAGAGAGTTCCGTTTATACCGATACCGCCTATTCCGCTAGTACACTGGTCATTTTTTTCGAACATAAAAGTGAAGTTCTTAGTTTGTTCTTGCAGGATTGCCATGAGATTCTCTACGTCATAATTTTCTTTTGGTTCTTCTATCTTCTTTGCTGCTTGGGCATAGTTTATGTTATTGTTATTAGTTGTTGTCCTTTGTGCATTCGCTGCTGATGTGTTCTTTGTCATATTTGACGCATTTAGTTCCATATTGGCATGACTTGAACCCATGGTAGTATCCTTGGCAATTACAATACTGCATAACTTTTTTACTTGTTCTTAGTTCTTCTTCTACGTGTATTCTCAGGAAGCAGAGATTTGTTGAGCTTCTTAGTTTTTCTTTTTTCTCTTGTTTTATGTGACTAGGAACAGTGGCAGAACTTGCGGTCTTCCTGCTTGGAAATCATATTTGCGACTTTAATTACCTCAATACCTCCATCTTTCAGTTCTTGGTGGATTTTTGTTGTTTCTGTAGTTTCGTGTAATCCTCTAATTACAAGTCTTGCTGTTCTCGTTTGGTTTCTTGGATATGCAATGTATTCAATAGGGTTCTGTTGACTGTATTCTTCGAGTATCTTGATCATTGCAAGGTATCCTTCTTTGTGACTAGTCTGTATAATGAGATCTTCCGGATTTAGCGAATTTGTTCGCCGATCCTATCTCTTTTTCTGTAGCTTTTTGCAGGATCTCCTGGCTTTTTCTAACGGTTTTGAGAATGATCTCCGGTTGTTTGGGCGCATCCTTCCTTGGCGGTTCTTTTTCGTTTGTTGTATTTTGCGTCTCTACAGGTGGTTTGGACATGTTCTTTTTTTATTTGCCTTTTCGGTATTCTTTTCCATTTCATCGTGATGTTCTTTTTCTTTTTTTTTGTTAGGATACCTCTGGGTACGCAAGTATCTTCTTTTCGCTTCTGTATTTCTTGTATATTTTCGGCAACAATGGTCTTTTTGGGTTTTCTACTTCGTTATTCTTTCTTTCCGGGTTGGCATTTTGTTTATTTTTCTTTTTTGATTTTGTGGAATTGTCTAGTCAGCATCATCGTTCTCTTCTCTTTCCATCTGACATTCTTTACTGGTACTGGGTCTTCCCAGTTCTTGATTTTTTGTTTGCTTTGTCATTTTTTTTTTATTTTGTTTCTATTTTTCAGTTTGTATTGGTTCATCATTTGGTATTGCTACCGGCTTTTGTAATGCTGCTATTATGTCTGTTAATTCGAATATCTTTTGCGTTAGCTTTTGTATTTCTTGGTCTTTTCCGCATATTTTTTCTTCTAGTTTTGTCATTTGCTTCATATTTTCCTCCTGAATCTTATGGATTCGGTCCATCACCCGCTTGTTTTCGGTAAACGTATTCAAATTCATTTGATTCGTTTATTTCATTTGATGTACTTCTTCTTCTTCAAGTTCCGCTCCTATCGGAGATTGGAAATCATTCTGGCAATTATAATTTTGTTGGTTACGCGCCTGAGTAGTTCAATTGAACTGCATCCAAACCATTCACGGAGATTGCGTAGCCACGAGATTTTACGTCTTCCTACACTTCTTCTGCCTTTGATTTTACCCTGCTATATTCCTTAGTAGATCGCATTTTTCACCTCTCATGATGTGCCCCAAGTATTCCAATTTCCTGGTTTTTACGGAATTTAAAACTTCGCATTGTTTTCCTAGTTGTTGGAGAACTTGTTCGTTTGTTTTGCGATCCATCCATGATATATTCAAAATACGTCGGTAACACATTTCGAATGCTTCTAGGTTTTTAATGTTGGATTTTTTAAGTGTCCAAGCTTCAACCCCATACAAAAGGGTAGAGAAAATATAACGTCGAAGCATTCTTATCCGGAGCGATATATTGATATCGCGATTACAAAAAAGTTTTCTCATTCTATTAAAAGTTGACCGTGCAATTTCAATGCGGTATCTTATTTCTTTTATCTGATCAGTATTTTCTGTGATCCATGCTCCAAGGTATTTGTACGAAGATATTTGTTAAATTTCTTTTAATCGTATTGATGTACTTACTTCGGTGGTAATCTGATGACTAGTATGCTCGTTTGTAGGCCTTAAGGCCTTCTTTGAGTAGTTATTTATCACTGTTATATGTTCCCTGTCCGTCACTTTTATACATAAATTTAGTTAGTTAATCAATCACTTTCGGCAGTTTATCCGATTAATAATGTTTATAAAGTTTATTTGGTGCCAAGTCCACATCTTTACCGGGTCTTTATCGGTATCGCGCCCTCCGGCCGCTACGAATGAATAGGATTTTGGGTTCAGTTTACCGAAAGTACAAGCTGAATATAGCCGCAAATGTCAGAAATATTTGGGTTTGGCTAGATTCTAACTCGATGGGTTTGGCAATGTTGGGATGTTTTTATAATGCATATGTTGTATGCTTCAAATATAAAGAGAGAAAGCTTTTAAAAAGTGTATTTTGATTATACTATTTTATGAATTCTGCAATTTTTAATTTATATGAAGCAATAACGAATAATTATTTGTCTCTTTCGAGATTAATTGCAAACATTCGTTGCAATCTGGTAACTGATGATTTGACGATTGCCAAATTTATATCCTAATCTATCAAAGGGTAATTGCCAAAATAGTTTCTGATAATTAACTGCAATTAATCTCCAAAGAAACAAATATTTACTTATTCTTATTTTATATAAATCAAAAATTGCAGAATTTATAACATAATCTAAACAAAATATACTTTTCCGCAAATCGCCAGGAAATTTTGACATTCCTGTCAAAATTTCTTGAAGAAAAAGTCAGGACTTCCTTACTGTAAGGAAATGTCATTTCCTTACTGTAAGGAAATGTCATTTCCTTACTGTAAGGAAATGATATTTCCGTACAATTGTTAGTGTTCTACATAAATGATGACAAGTTTGACAATTCAACTTCAATACGTTTCCATAGTAACCCAAGTAATTTTATTAGGAATTTCAAAGCACCATTTATTTGGGAATAAAATTATCGCGTTTTTTTTTAAATCAATCAATATCTGTCGAATTTTAAACGATTTGCGGAAAAATAGTATGTTTACCTCATAGGAAAAGCCACATTCCTGGACTCTGTGTTGCTAAGTCTCGGCTTGCGCCTCGACTTAGCAATCTTCACAGTCGTCCAGGAATGTTAAGCTTTTCCTACCCGGTAAACAATGTACTATTTCCAAAGCTTTATCTTTTTATATTTGAAGCATACAGCATCTACATTATAAAAACATTCCAACACTGCTATACCGAAATTTTTTTTCCATGTTTTACATTTGTAAACATGGAACATGTACTTTCGGTAAACTAAACCGGATTTTGATATTATTATTATTATTCACTATTTACACGTTCAAAACTGTGAACTAGGATTCAAAATAATCGTTTGAATATTTAAATTTTTTAAGAGAAACTTTGAAATGCGTTTAAACACTTTGAGCGAACATCAGTCAGCACCAAAGGCGCATTTGAAGTGCTAGGCCACCTAAAATGAAAATGTTTAAAGAAAGTCTGTTTATTTAAAAATTGCTGTGTTGCAACTTCTATCGGTTGTATATTAATTTCTTGGAGTTCAAACTCTGCATGACCTCTCATTTTTCATTACTTTATTGATTTTTTAATAATGCGTTTTTTTTTTTCATTTTAAGATATCATGGAAGATATGTTGGAACCGAATCCAGTCGAAATAAACCTGTGCGAATCGGTACCGACAGTGGATATTACATCAGAACCTAGGGAAAAATACTATGATGAATCATTAATAATACGATTAAAAGAAATTTTTCCGCAAGCTTGTCCCGATTATATTCGAAACTTGTGTCAAGGCAAACAGTGGTCAGAATTTGATAATTTAGTAACTGAATTATTATCAAATGAGTACCCTCAAAGACCTGAAAGAGTTCCCAGTCCACCGAAGGAGATAGATCTCGATGAACAACTAAAAATAGTAAAAGAATTATTGCCGGACGCAGATCCTACATATCTTAGTTATAAATGTGAAAAAATTGGAAATGATGTTGAGGCTTTAAATGCCTTTATAAACGAAGCAAGAGAACTAAAGAACTATCCAACTATGAAAGAATATTTGAGAAAACAAAAGTTCACAGCACAAATAAAACAATATACAACAGAATTTAATGTTGAAAATTTTGTAGCATTGTTTCCAAATCCAGATGAGACCTTTAAAGATCCAAATAGAATTGTTGAGGTGGATTATCGTTCTGAAGCGTACGTCTCTTATTTTTTTCAACTCAGATATGACAGAATACCTCTAAAGGTTATACGAGCTGCACTAGTAGAAACAAAGTTCAATATCCTAGCTTCCGACGAAATATTAAAATCTAAATTTAAGATGGGCGCTACTTTAAAATCGCGTAGAAAAACTGTTCGTCATCAAAATCCTCCTCAAAACATTCTTTTATTACAAAACCTCGCGTATTTAACTCACAAAGAGGAAATAGAACAGTACATTAAGGAGGCAAAAGAAAAGGAAGAAGCAGAACGCAAAAATGCCAAAGAAAACAGTTTATTTAATGAATGTAAGTGCTGTTATGACAACGAGGTCATGCCTAAAGATTCATTTAGTTGTCCAAATGGCTGTGTTTTTTGTAAGAGCTGTATCAAAAAGAGTTGTGAAATATCTTTTGGAGAGGGTAAGACTGAAATGATGTGCTTGAATGGTTGTCCAATAGAATTTACTCTACATACGCTACAGTTGGTACTTCCGCCAAAATTATTTTCAAAATTGGCACAAAAGAAAGCATTAGCTGAAGTTAGAGCAGCAGGTAAGCGTAATTTATTTTTAGTCATATTTATAATTAACTTAAATAATTTATGGTACAAGAGTTTTGAGAAAAAATAATACTTTTATTCATCTTTTGGTCTTCCATGTTTACTGCCGAGAATCTTACATACTAGCCATGATTAACATAGAAATTTCCGAATTTTTCAGTTTATGAAAATTGAATTATTTTTGCCTTTATACTGGTCACTCCCACCACGTATTCTTTGGCCTTCATCTACTGCGTCTGTCAAGAACATAACACTCAGCCTTTCCTTCTATTAGGTGATTATCATTTCAGCGTTGACCATGCCTTCTTTTTCTTATTGTGTCGTCTTCTAACGAAGTTTATGGAGCTTTTCTTTAAACGCGCCCCTATCTTTTGCAACGTTAAATATCTGTTCAACACTGAGGTTAGTCCAATTTCTGATATTCCTTAGCCAATATTTCTTCTTTCTTTCCAAGCCTTTTCTTCCCTTTTACTCTTCCTTACATGATGACGTGTAGAAGAGAGTATTTATCATTTCGAACTATGTGGCCCAGATACTATATGAGTTGCGACCATACATAACATTCGACAAACCTCAATTTAATAACCATCATCATCAATCAGCCAATCGCGTCCACTGCTGGACATAGGCCTCCCTCAGTTCTTTCCAGTGTTCTCTACACTGGGCCGCTTGTAGCCAGTTTCCCGCTACACGTTTAATGTCATCGGTCCATCTAGTCGGTGGTCGTCCTCGGCTTCTTTTATAATTTCTGGGCCTCCTTTCCATAATACGTCTTGTCCACCGTCCATCTTGTGTTCTGGCTAAGTGCCCTGCCCAGTTCCACTTAAGCGTCGTGGTTCTTTCGATGACGTCTTGAACTCCTGATCTTCGCCTGATTTGTTGGTTTGTTATGTGGTCTCGAAGGCTCACGTTCAGCATTGCACGTTCCATGGCTCGTTGTGTAACTCTAAGTTTATTCGCAGATTTTTGCGTGAGTGTTAAAGTCTCTGCTCCATAAGTTTGTACAGGTAAAACACATTGGTTATAAACCTTTCGCTTGAGACACATGGGAATTGAACTTTTTAGAATATGGCTTAATTTGCCAAATGCTGCCCATGTTAGACCTATTCGCCTCTGTATTTCATGTGTTTGATTGTCTCTGCTTATTTTGATTTCGTGTCCCAGATATTTGTAAGTGTCTGTTTGTTGTATGGTATTATTGTCAATAGTTATATTTCCACTCATTACGAGATTTGTTATAATTTTAGTTTTCTCAAAGTTTATCTTTAATCCTGCTCTTTCAGACAGACTTTTAAGCGAATGCATCATAGAAACTGTATCATGTAAGTTATCTGCGATTAATACAACATCATCTGCAAACCTTAGGTGATTTAATCTTTCTCCATCTATATTGATGCCCATATCTTGCCATTGAGTACCCTTAAATATTGACTCTAGAGCTGCCGTGAACAATTTTGGTGAAATATTGTCTCCTTGTCTAACTCCTCGACCTAAGCTGAATTTTTCTGTGTCTTCGTGCAGTCGTATACTTGATGTAGCGTTCTGATAGATGTTTTTGATTAGTGTCGTGTACCTGTAATCTATTCGGCTTTGATTTAGGGCTTCCAGTATTGTTTCAAACTCTACAGAATCAAAAGCCTTCTCGTAATCGACAAATGCAAGAACCAGTGGTATGTTGTACTCGATGCACTTTTCTATTAAGATCTTTATGGTATGCAAATGGTCATTTGTGCCATATCCTGCCCTAAAGCCTGCCTGTTCTTTGGGCTGATAGAAATCAAGTTTAGATGTTAGCCTGTTTGTTAAGATTTTCATAAAGAGTTTGTACATATGTGTCAAGAGGCTGATGGGTCTATAATTTTCTAATTTAGTAATATCGCCTTTTTTGTGTAACAAGACTATTACTGCATTGTTCCAGTCTTTTGGAATCGTACCCGTATAACCATACTTAATTTCTTATTTGTAAATATTGACTTGTATTTTAAAAATCCTTTTTGAGCTATTTCAATTCTGCCTTTTATCTCCTCATCTTGATCTAACTGTGAGTTAATAATTGTTCCGAGCTATTTATACTTGTCGACTCTCTCTAACGGTTTACCCTCCAATGTTAGATGTATCTTGCCAACTTGAGTTTTCGAGATCACCATGTATTTGGTTTTATTCATATTCATTGATAGTTCCATCTTTTTGCTTTTTCTGTTAATGATTTCTATAATAATTTGTAAATCTTCTATATTTTCTGCCATGATTGCGGTATCGTCTGCAAATCTTATGTTAATAATGATGCTCCCTCTATTCCTTACACCTTCAGTTCTTTCCCACAGTTCATCATGACATAATAGTTGGGAGTACACATTAAATCATTGTGGCGACAGCAGATATCCCTGCCTGAATCCTTTTTTAATTTCTATTTGGTTTGTCTCATAAATATAGATTTTTGATTAAATTAATATTTTTGGGATCTAGGTGTATCTGTATCAATGCATGTATGAGTTTATCATGTTCTTCTTCTTCAAGTGCCGTCTTTGTTCCGAAGTTTGGCTATCATCAAAGCTATGCGTATTTTTGATGCTGCAGATCTAAACAGTTGGTAATTGGTGCAATTGTACCATTCTCTCAAGTTTTTCAACCATGAATGCCTTCTTCCTATAGATCTCTTTCCCATTATCTTTCCCTGGATAATCAATTGCAGCAACTGGTATTTATCTCCCCTCATAACATGTCCCAAATATTGTAGTTTGCGCTTTTTAACAGTAAGTATCAGCTCTTTCTCTTTCCGCATTCTCCGCAAAACCTCCACATTTGTTAGTTTCTCTGTCCAGGGTATTTTTAATATTCTACGATACATCCACAACTCAAATGCTTCTATCTTTTTGGTATCGATCTTTTTCAATGTCCATGTTTCCATCCCGTAGAGGAGAACTGACATAACGTAGAACTTCCGCAGAACACCTTTTTTAATTTAGTAAATGTGGCTCTAGCTTTCTCTATTCTGCTTCTGATTTCTTCAGAGCTCTGTCATTTATCATGTTGAGCTCTGTCAAATACTTTTTGAAAATCTTTATAACATATGAATACGTTTTTATTATATTCCCTGCATTTTTGTAATAGTACTGTCATTGCGCCCAATGCCTCTCTTGTTCCCATTCCACCTCTAAATTCAAACTGTGTTGTCTGATTATTGTTTTTCACATTTTTTATGTATAGGGACTTATGAGGCTAATTAATCGGTATTCATTGCACAATTTGGGATTAGTTTTTTTTGGGTAAGGGTAAAAAGACCTACTAAATAGGTCTACACATGAATTATAATAAAACGAAAATTATGACCAACCAACCAGAAGAATTAATAATTACAATTGCACAAACAACTATAGAACAAGTAAAATAATATGTGTATTTGAGACAACTAGTTAAATTAAATAAAGAAAATCAGACCGGAGAAATAAAGAGAAGGATACGGTTGGCTTGGTTATCCTTTGGAAAACTTTCCTATATACAAAATAATAGAAAATACCCCCAATATTTAAAAAACAAGAGTCTTCAACCGATCTTCTATACTTTCTGTTCTCATCTACGGTTCTTAAACTTGGACGTTTATAAAGGAAAACATGGAAAAAATAGCAAAGGCCTAAAGATCCATTGGAAAGGCAAATGCTGAACATCGGGCTATCAGACAAGAAGAGAAATACTTGAATCCGCAACAAAATAAAAGTGACCGATGTATCAACGCAGATAGCAACTCTTAAGTGGAAGTTCGCTGGACATACCATAAGACAGAAAGACCACAGATGGAATAAGATCATTATACACTGGAGACCATATAGTTACAAACGAAAAAGAGGAAGGCCACAAATGAGATGACTGGAAGAAACACGCAAGCCCGAAGTGGATACAAACTGCCTACAATAGAGAGACGTGGAAGAAGAAAGAGGAGGCCTATGTCCAAAATTGGACAGAAAGGGCTATATAGATAGATAGATAAGGGTAAAAAGATAGATTTTAACCATTCATCAGGAATTAGCCGTGTGGTATATTTTATTAAATAATTTAGTTAGACACTCTATATTTTCGTCATTCAGGATTTTTAATATTTCTACTGGAATTTCATCAGTACGTGACCACTTTTTGAGTTTTTAATTGCCTGTTTCACCTCTAATATTAGAATTTGTATATTTTAATTGTTGGTAATGTTTCATTTATTTCTTCCCTATTATCTGTAAATAAGTCCTTAATGTATTTCTCCCAAGTTTGTTGTTTTTCTTTTTCTGAAAGAACTTTTTCTGAAGAAAAAAACTCTTTTAGTTTCTTGTGTCATGTGTGTCGTGTTTCATATTAAATTCTTCTATTTATTTGCTATTTTCATCCATCCAACGATTTTTAGCTTCCTTGATATGCGTTTATACTTGTTTCTTCATGTGCTTGTATTTTTCTTTATTTGTATTTCTGTATTTTCGTTTTTCCTCTATGTAAATTATATCTGGTATCATCTAGTATCTTTTGGCACTTGGTTCTTTTCTACTTACAAACGTTTCGCCAGCGTTAAGTACTGCCGCCTTTATTCCGTTCCAGGTACTGATAATATCTTTTTTGAAGCTTCTATGAATGCTGGTGCAATTGCTTCCTTTATTTATTGTTGGCATTTTTCGCCCTCAAGCTTTGATAAATCTAGTCTCAATTTTACTTTGTTTTTTGTTTTCTCAGTTTAATGTTAATGTTGGCTAGAAGTAAATTGTGACCAGATCACACATATCCTAGTGCATCAGCACTAGGATATGATTTTACGCTTTTATAGTCCCATTTTTAAATCTTTTGTTAACAGTAATGTAATCGATTTGGTTTATTATCAGATTATTTTCGTTGTCTCTTGGTGCACTCCATGTATAAAGTCTCCTTGGTGGCAATGAATAACGGTCGTTTGTGATGACTAGTTCTTTCTCTTGACAATATTGTACTAATCGGTATCCTCTTTCGTTTCTTATCCCTAGACCATACTTCCTTTTCTTTTACTTTCCCTTTACCGTTTTTGGCGGTAAAGTCTCCCATTAATACGTTGACTTCATATATTTTTTATGTTTTTCGTTAGATATTGTAAATCTAAATAGAATAAATCATATGTCATTATCGGATCGGTGCTGCTTGATGTAGGGCATAAATTTAAATGATGTTTATGTTTATTGGGTGGGTTTTCAACTGTAACATTATTATTCTTTCATTGCAGGGAATAACGTTTAGACATAAGGTTGTAGCATTTTTTTAACCATGATTCCTACACCATTTTTGTGATCATTAGTACTGCTGCCCGAGTAATAAATGGCGTTATGATAACAATGTCCAGCACTGGGCCATCTTACTTCGCTGAGGCCAAGAATCTCTATTTCAAGCCAGCTCATTTCTAGTGCTACTCATACGAGTTGTTCAGTTTTATATAATGTTCGTAAATTCCACGTTGCAATACGATTTATATTTATTTTGTTTTTCCGCCCGGAGATTTTTCTTGAGATATCCTTGGGAATCTTTAATTCAGTGGTTTCTTCTTGTCTTCCACATCCTTATCCCGTTGACCATTCATGGTTCATCTGTTCTTTGAGACCGCTTTGTCAATATCGGGACAAAAGAGTGCCCTTCCACTTACCAGCTCATCTACCCGAAGCCGTTGACCAGTAAGCTCCCTTTCTCATCAGCCCCGACCATATCTTCCATTGGTGTTGGTAACCTAATCTCCAGATTGCTCAGATTACCAGGGTTCACCCGTGTGACAATGATCATACTTCTTGGAGGCGAGTATAGGAATTGGGTAGGAAAGGCTAGAGGTGCCATCTAAAAGCAACACCTTATGATGAGCATCACTACCCCATGAACATGCCTTAACAATCGTAAAATACATACACTCTCTCATTTCGGCATCAGTAGGTGCCACTGCTAGACTATCTTTAATATACTCATCCTATCTTTTATTTTTGAAACTCCACTAACTCATTTAAAAATTATTATTTCAGAAATATGATTCGTTGTTCTAAAAAATTATTATTTCAGAAATATGATTCGTTGTTCTATTTTTTTTTATCTGCCTAATACTTATGTCGTAGATAGTTTCTCTTACTAAAATTTACTTTCTTTTTCTTTTGAACTTTATTTTATTCTGTACTCTAACTCTACTGCACGCATCGCCATCGATTACCCCGTCGGTCTATAATATCATATTAAATATCCCCCGATCTATACTACTATTTCTTTTACAATCATTTCACAACTCAGTTACCATTTTATTTGTGTAATTTATCTTTCTAGATATTCTGGATATTTTTAGCGTGCGGTTTATGATATTCCAGAATACATGCATGTCTGTATTTTCTCACTAAAGATATGTTCTTCGTTCACACCATGACGTGTTTCGGTCGATATTGTGTCTCATCAGATGGTAGTAATAATTTAAAATAGGCTTTAAAAGAGAAACTACTAAATCAGAAACACACCGTGGTGTCTATTTTCTCTCATCCAAAGTAGATGGCGCTACGTAATGTGTTCACTCATTTGGTTTAATTACGATATTGTCTTAGATTTCTATCTGATGAAACCCAAGACACACGTAAACATGTAATAAGAAAGAAGAACAGATCTAGAGAAAATAGACAGACGTTCATTCCTAATGGTGCATAATACGTTGACCTATGTAAAACGAATCGGAGAAATTCGGGAAGATAAAAATATTTTAAAATTTCCTATTTTTTGTGAAATCAAAGCAACATAAGTGAAACTATATACATAATGAACACAAAAAAAAGTTTTTTTATAAAAACACTGTAAAAACTAAACAATCATTTTTTGCAAACAAAATCGACTTTACGATCTTTTAGAGAAATAAAATGTTTGAATAACAACATTGGAGTTTTAGGGAAGTTGTGATGGAGAAATCGGGAAAGGGCTGAAAGGAAAGATATACAAGTGTGGCGAGGCCTAGAGGTTTCAGGAAAAGAATATGGAGATGACCATATTCAGATAGCTGAAATGAATATATTGCGGTGGATATTGAGTAAGACTAGAAGGGACATAATCAGGAACGACTTGATTGAGGAAAAAGCCAGGATGACTACAGTCTCAGAAAATATTTAAGAACCAAGACTGCAATGGTTTGGTCTGGTCAGACGTAGAAATGAAAACTATGTAGGTGTTGATGGAAGAAGAGGTAGAAGAAAACTGAGAAGATGGAAGGACTGTGTAGCAGAGGAGGGTAGGGCAGTTATATGCACTGACAATGTGACGTATAGGAATATGGGGTTTGTGAATTTTGGGTAGGCCATACATTCGAGATGTTCTGGAAGATTTTTCATGAGCAATTAGAGATTGTTTCATGTCAACAGGAAGAGAGGTTTTATTGATAATGGTTTTTGTTGTTTTCTCCAGATAGGTTGTTGTATTATTAGGAACTGGTGTGTAGTCTGCAGTATTAGTGAGATTTGAGTGTTTATTAATGTAAGAAGAAGTGTTTAGAATGACGGGGGCATTGCCTTTATCCGCGGGAGGAATGACTAGATTTGGATTTGACTGAAGTTCTTTCAGGGCTTTTTTCTCGGTTTGGTTCATGTTCAGAGTAGGAGGCTTTGGTTTCTAAGAACTCTAGCGATGTCTTGTCTAGTTATTTCAGCATCTTCGGAAGGTGGACTGGAGATGGTTTCTTCAGTTTGACATTATGATTGTCTTAATTGGAATGTGACTTGGTAACAAAGTAATTGAAACTTTTTGCTAAAGCTTGAGTGGCAATGGTCGAGATAGGCTTATCAGAAAAGTTATGAACCACTGTAGTTGGTTTCAACGTTGTGGTTTTTGGAATTTGGTATTAGCGCAATTAGATGCGCTAATTTGGGCTTCTGAGTTTTAGTCTTAGATTCGAAAGTGTTTAGGACTGTCTGCGTGTTAATACGGTTGAAACTTTTCAATAATATAGGATGTACATTGAAATAATGATTAGATGACCAGATAATGAAAATAATGATATTTTTGACATCTAGTTCTCGTTTAGTGGAATGAATAGCTTCACGGAGAACCGCAAAACTGGTTTTTCTAAAAAATTGGGAGATAGAAGAAAAAGAAGTATGGTGTATGAGTTTAAGAAATTTAAGAATGACTTGATGGTCTCAGTAGGCTTTAAGGAATGTAAATCACAAAGAAGACGATTTTTACGTAGCAGCAGATTGCTATATGATTTAGTGAGCTGGTAAAATTCCTTCCCGTAGAGACAAGTAAAACTTCTTTTCGGAACATGTATCTACATATACATAAAGTGAACTAAAAGTCTCTAAACGTATAATTATCTCTAAATGAAGATTTTTTCTTATATTTCCACTTCAATACAAGTTTAACCGTATACAGTAATTTCGATTTTATGTATTTAGGAACATCTTAAAAAGATAAGACAAGCCTAAACGCGTAGAAACCCTAAAGCCTAAAAATGCGTATTGTCTCAATAAATTTTTTGATTCAACTAAATTTGAACGTAATACCTAATTAAAAGTTTACTACATTGCTAAATTAATGTCTACCTAATCAAGTTTCCTTTTTTGTTAATTTGACAGTATCCAGAACGATGGGAGAATGCATATATTAAATGTCTGTTATGTTTCTATTATGTTTCTCTAGAAGTTAATATGGATTCTTCGATAATTCTTTGCCTTAGCTCTGCAACACTTGCAGGTTTAGTTTTATAAATTCTAATTTTGAAGTATCCGTAATAAAAATGATCTTTATGATTAAAATCGGGTGAACGAGGAGGCCGTTCAATACTACTTAATCTACCAATCGATCGGGAAATGTCTCATCTAAATAAAACTGAATATTTACACCAAAATGACCTGAAGCTACGTCTTGCTGAAACCATATCTCATTACAATTGATTCTAAACTTGTTTTTTAGTACAGTTACAATTTCATTTTTAAGTATCATATAATTATCGCTTGTTAAATTTCCTTCTATACAAAACGGATCAATTAACTGAATACCCACTATGACCATTGTTTAAATGAATTCTTATGTAATAATTTATAACAGTTTTATCTGTTACCGTCTTTATACCGCTGCTTTACAATTTTTTGTATGGTCGCCTTATGAATAGGAGAATGGTTTGGGAAAGTATCGTTAAACAAGTTTGCTACTTCACTGTAAGATCTTTTCTATCTCCGTAGTCCCTCATCATTAAAACAGTAATTTGCTCATTTTCATTAAAATCACTGTACATTAGTATTGTATTTTGTAGAAAATATTACCTTCCATTTGATATGAGGTTGTACATATCTAGCATGTTTCATTTTGTAGATATATAAAAAAGATCTATTATAGATTTTATTTTTTGTGAATTTTTACTAAAACATTTTTTGTGAAAATAAATTATATATGATTTTAGAAACACACGTTAAAATATCAAAAATTAAAATAAAAACGTCTACTATGACTATATAATTCGTTGACTTTAACAGTCTAGTTATAATTTTTATAGTTAGCGATTAATATTCTCAACTCTTCAAATTTCTTTTTTTGAATATATATTATGTATTTTTTGTAGGTATTGATGAGCTCGAGTCTTGCCCGTTCTGCGACTTCGCGAGTATCCCGAACGCTGAAGATAAAATTTTCCGTTGCCTCAATCCTGATTGTATGAAAGAGTCTTGTAGATCATGCAAAGAAGAAAACCACGTGCCTTATAAATGTGATGAAATTGAAAAGGATGATGACGTTAAAGCTCGTATCTTTGTCGAAAATCAAATGACAGAAGCCTTGCTTCGCAAATGTTACAAATGTGGCAAAAGTTTTTACAAAGAGGAAGGTTGCAATAAAATGACTTGCATCTGTGGAGCAACAATGTGTTATGTATGTAAACAACCAGTCAAAGATTATAAACATTTCAATGGTTTGGGAGGCGATCGATTTGAAAGGTGTCCATTATACAGTGATTCCAACGAAATTAATCGGACCAATGTTCTCCAGGCTGCCGAAGCTGCAAAATCTAAAGTTGATCCAAACAAACTAAAAGTAAGTATAGTACTGACAAATTAAAAGTAAGTATAGTATAGTCTTCGTCACGACATGCACGGTATAAAGCCAGAGATACACATGCCTGTTACTAGCACAATGGCATACCAGTACTTAGTAAGCACCAGCTACTGTCCCCAAACTGGCAAGTGTTTACTTTAACTGGCATGCTAGCTAATCGCAAAGAATTTGATTTTTCTTATTCTGCTGTAAGATGCAAGGCGCATGCGTGGGGAGTGTCACTGGCATGTGTGAATGCGCGCTATCGCTACGGGCATGCCAGTAGTTAGCAGAGAATTGTCAGATTTGTTATGTTGTTGATAAAAATTAATCATTTTATTTTTAAATTTATTAATTTAAAAAATGTTCCGTTGGGTTGATAAAAAACCATCAAATTTATTGCTATATATAGAGAATTGGAGTATCTTTGAATTCTTTGAATTCTAAATCATCTCTATATAACAATAAAATAGCCCGTGACAATGCTTACACACCCAAATCACAAATTTTTCTCATTTTTTGAGTTCCGCTTCGGATTCGTTATTAAATTTCTGTGATCATAAGCAATATTTGCTTGTTTAATTCATTCCGAATACCTTATTAATTACAAAACAAGTACTTATGAAAACTACCACTGTTTACTAGCACTGGCATGTGTAAAAATCTACCGTGCTTTTTCTCCTTGCCAGAATAGGCAAGCGAGCTACTGGCATGTAAATTACTAGCAAATGTGTTTAGGGCTTGCCAGTTACTGGCCTATGCCAGCAACTGGCATGCCAGCTACTTTCCCAATTTACTGGCATGTGTGTACCTAGCTTTAAGAATATCACTCATCAACTTCATCATTATTATATTAACTTCATTTTTATTAGCATTCATAATGCTAATAAAAAGTCATAATTTGCGTACTAAATTTATTTCACATCATCCATTACGTTCAGGGACATTTTACCTGAAACCGACAACGAAATCAAAGTAAAATAATGGTCTTTTTTCTTATTTCGGTCAGATATATTTTTAGTAGATATTAATGTTAATTATTTTTTTGTGTGGTGCTTGATTGCGGATATATGGACTTTAAAAATTTACGAAATATTAGGTCCTTACTTTTTATACGCTTTTTCTTACGGTGCCTTATCCTTAAGGACGTTGGCCATTACATTTGCCCATTTAATCTTATTTGTAGCAGCCCTGAATAGTTCTATGGAGGTCATGTTCGTCCATTGCAGTAGGTTTTTAAGCCAAGAGTTGCGTCTTCTTCTTGGTCCTCTTTTGCTATTGACTTTGCCTTCGATTATAAGTTGGAGCAGTTCATATTTTTGATTTCTTATGATGTGACCAAAATATTGTGTTTTCCGTTCTTTTCTTATAATCATAAGCTCTCTTTCCTTATTCATCCTCCGCAAGACTTCCGCATTTGTCCTATGGCTCATGTAGGATATTCTCAGCATTTTACGGTAACACCAGAGTTCGAATGCTTGGATTCTTTTTTGTGTTGCTTCTGTCATTGTCAGGCTTCAACACCATAGAACAAGGTGTAGAAAACATAGCACTTAAGTATTCTAGTTCTCAATGAGATGCCCAGCTGGCGGTTGCATAGAACTTTTTGCATTTTGTAAAACATTGTACGTGCCTTTTCCAGGCGTATTCTTATCTCTAGTGAGTGGTCCCAAGTTTCGTCAAGATTACTTCCAAGGTACGTTGTTCTTGTTACTCTTTCCAGATCTGTTCCGTCGACATTGACCTTCACCCTTCTGTTTTGGTGCTTGCTGATGACCATCGTTTTTGTCTTCTTAGTATTCAATTTCATTCCAAATTCTCTACATTCTGTCGTTACTCGGTCCATTAAACGTTGCAGAGCTTCAGCATTATCTGCCAGTATGACAGCATCAGCATATCGCAGGTTATTTATACATTCTTCTTCTTCAAGTTCCACTCCTATCGGAGATTGGAAATCATTCTGGCAATTATAATTTTATTGGTTACTCGCCTGAATAGTTCAATTGAACTGCATCCAAACCATTCACGGAGATTGCGTAGCCACGAGATTTTACGTCTTCCTACGCTTCTTCTACCTTTGATTTTACCCTGCATTATATTCCTTAGTAGTTCGTACTTTTCACCTCTCATGATGTGCCCCAAGTATTCCAATTTCCCGATTTTTATGGAATTTAAAACTAGTTGTTCGAGAACTTGTTCGTTTGTTTTGCGATCCATCCATGATATTTTCAAAATACGTCGGTAACACCACATTTCGAATGCTTCTAGGTTTTTAATGTTGGATTTTTTAAGTGTCCAAGCTTCAACTCCATACAAAAGGGTAGAGAAAATATAACATCGAAGCATTCTTATCCGGAGCGATATGTTGATATCGCGATTACAAAAAAGTTTTCTCATTCTATTAAAAGTTGACCGCGCAATTTCAATGCGGCATCTTATTTCTTTTGTCTGATCAGTATCTTCTGTGATCCATGCTCCAAGGTATTTGTACGAAGATATTTGTTCATCTGTTTGTCGAGTACTAGCTTAACTTTGATGTTTTGTGCTTTTGTAAATACCATGAACTTGGTTTTCTTCAAATTTATACATTGCCCGTTTATAATTATACCATCCGAGGTGCCTTCCAAAGCTTTCTGAAATATCTTCTCAGAGTAAACATTGAACAGCAAAGGTGATAGGACACATCCCTGTCTTACTCCTTTCTCGATATTAATTTTTCCAGATGTTTCGCTTTTTATTCTGATTTTAGCCTTGTGTTCTTGGTAGAGGTTTGAAATGAGGTCTTTATCGTCGATATTACATGACCTTAAAATATCTATTAGTTTATCATGTTTCACCAGATCAAACGCCTTCTGAAAGTCTATGAAACACAAGTATACATCAGAATCGACATCTCTACATCTTTCAACTAGCACACGTATTGAAAAAAGTGCTTCTCTTGTTCCGAACCCATTCTTAAAACCAAACTGATTTTGACCAGTGTGTTCGTCTAGTTTATTGTATACTCTATTGTGTATTACTCGTAGGAAAAGCTTCAACATATGATTCATCAGGCTAATAATCCTATGGTCTTCACATTTCTTGGAGTTTCTCTTCTTTGGTAGTGGTATAAACACCGATGTCAGCCAATCATTTGATATTATGCCTGTTTCGTATATTTTGTTAAATATATTTTCCATTACTTCGATGTGTTCGTCTAGTAATATCTTTATTATTTCAATTGGGATATTATCTTCCCCAACAGCTTTTCTGTTCTTGATCTGATTTGCCGCTTTGATAATAATTTTTTATATGCTATTTATTGGAAATTGATAAACAAGTTCATAAAAATATGATTTCATATAGTAAATAGGCTCTGTGTCGGTATGAGTCTGTAAGCCCGAGTTCACTTTCATTCAACACAGAACAAACTTAGCGGGGAAGTTCTCATCTTCTACACGGTACTTTTTAATGGTTAATAGGACCTAGAACAGCTGTGAATAAGTTATATTATAACGACATAAACACACGCAGACTAACTGAGAACATGATATTCTTTTTGATGAGCCTATCCGTGAAGAATGTTGACGATCATCATGGCAATCTTTATCTTATCTGCAGCAGGCGGAAAAACTGCACATATGTTGTGTTCAACGAGGTTCTGAGGTTCCTTAACCAGTATGTTCTTCTTTCTGGACCAGTTATTTCCAAATATTTTTCCTTGTTGCATGGCTTCTAGCAGGGCATATCTGGATTCATTTCGCATAATGTGTCCAAAGTATTGTAACTTTCGAGATTTAATGGTAGTCATTACTTCTCGGTTCTTCTTCATTCTTCTCAGGACTTCCTCATTTGTGTCTTGGTCAGTCCATGAGATCTTCTCCGATGAGTATTCTCCTATGTAGCCAAATCTAAAATGGTTTCAATCTTCTGCACATAGCATCGTTTAAGGTCCAGGATTTAACACCATAAAAAAAGGAGAGAGAAGACGTAGCAACGCAGCTTACTTGCTTTTATACCAAGAGAGAAGTTGTGGCTTGAGAGAACATGACATAAGGGGTGCAATTTAACTAGGACAGATCTACTTTAAGTGAACTTTTGAATTTATAGTATATTATTCCTGTTAATCTTATTATGTTTTAAAACATTTTTTAGTTACATGTGAGGTTATTAAAAAAGAATGCAAGGAAACAAACACCTTGGTGGAATAACGAAATTAAAGAAGAAATTAAGAAGGAGAATAGGTAGAATACTATAAATATTTACTTGGACAACAAAAAAAAACTAAAACAGGAAAGCGAAGAACAGGAGAACACAATATGCAAGAAAGAGGACAAGTAGAAGAAAACCAAATTAAATTTGAAGAAATTACAAGTTCTCTTAGAAAACTAAAAACATAAAATGGATAGGTCCCAGGGATAGATATGTTAAAATATATGGGGAAAAAGGAGCTTCTTATGTCCCAGGTTCTGTTATTATGTTATTAATGAGATATCCATGCTCAGCAATTATATGGATGTAGTTTTCTGGCCTGTAGTTTGATTTGGCCGATTTCGGAATTGCAATGATCTTTGTGGTCGTATTCGAAGGAGAGATGTCAGAGCGAAGGATGCCTTCTACCCGAAGCCACTGTTTCGTCTGTGTATAAGGAACTTTAGATGTATGAGCTCTATATTTAAAACTCTTTTCACATTCGTAATAAGTGTTCGGTCTCGTTTAGCTCTAGATATAGATACTATGTAGAATGCAGCCTTATTAAAGTATAATTTATCGTCTTTGGATTGCGGACGGCTTTTCAAAATTTTCGCAACAGAGAGCAATGCCTGGCGGTCTATTTTGTCAATGTTTTTGACTTGGTGTCTAGCTGTATTGATGTTGTGTAAGAACTTATCAGCTATTTGTCAGTTACCACTTCTGTCAGAACTTCTTCCATTCCGCCTTTCTAAAGTTCCACCTAGATCGAGGGTTTGATTTGATTATTTGTATAGATATGCTCATATTAATAAACACAAGATGATGTTAACTGTGGGAAGTGTGCAAGTACGCTTTTAGAAGTTGTTAGTGCCCTATCGTTGACAGTTTTTGGGATAAAGCTTAAGCTGTAATTCTTTCTTTATGCGGCTGATGTAAATATTCCTTCGTCTTTGGCAGCAAAAACGAGATATGTTTTGTTTCTTGGGTCATTCAACTAGTGCCTCCCCAGTTTTATAATTTTAGTGTCCACATTTCGTGGTGGGTATTAAAATTCCTAATGTTATAAGTAGGGTGTGGTTGGACATATTTCACTTCGGATTTCCAGGTACCGGCAGAAGACCATCGTCCATGTTAACCACGTTCTTCTCACATATTTTATTTCAGATATATATATTATTCGATGGATATTATTTCAGAAACAGAAATATTTCGAGACTTCTACTACTCGGAAGTTTCCAAGACAATATGAAAATCATAGGTGATGCATTGAACTGGCCAGTTCTCGATATGTACCGACCACATCTTGTATAATCGACTACCGTAGGTCTGACTGCATATCAGTTTTACGAACTAACTTAAACTTTCAGACAGGAATCATTCGTCATAGTACAATTATAATTTAAAAAATCTTTACTAGTCAATTCGTTAAAATCGGTAAACTAATACTAATCGAAACTTTAATATTGGTATAAATTGAAATCATGTATTATTTTAATAAAAACTCATTTAAATATTATACACTAATGCAAAGTGTATTAGTGTATAATATTTAGTTGTAGTGCAAAATTAACCGGACACCCAGATTTTTACAACAAACTAGCGTTTAACAAAGTAAAAAGAATAAAAAATTTTAAAATCTGCAAAAAAAAACAAAGATTCATTTTTTTAATTCTAAACATTTCCATGGATTAAATAAAGCACACTTATTATATGTCCATTCTTTTCTATATTGAGTTACGCACTGTACCTTGATGACATCCTAACAGTCTATCATCCTGCACAGATATGTTCTATCCTAAAGCATTTGGTGTGGTATAAATGACATTTCAAAACTGTGAATTAAGCAAAAATGTATTATGAAGAAAACAACTGTTGCATGTCCATATATAATATACCTGGTCTTAGCAATCAAAAGAGTAAGGACAAAATATTGTATGTCCGGGACATGCCATAATTGTGCACAAATAATCTGTCACTATCAACAAGCCGGCTGGAACATTAGCAGCTTGTGTGGTGTGCAATTTTGAGATTATTGTTGTTAAAGTTTTCTTTTTTGGTGTCAAGTGAATTTATTGTTTATAAAAAACTCGAACATCGAAGTAAAACACTTCTGTTGTAATTGGTATATTTAATTAAAAATTAAATTTAAAAATCCAAAAGGATCAAGTTCAGAACTAATCAGTCCATCTTCAGAGAACCTAAAGGCAAGTAATCCCACTAAATTAATAAAAATCACAAATCTACAAAAAGACAGAGAAACTTTTAGAACTGTGGTCGTCAACCTCCGTTAATGGGAACGGCATAGGAAGAAGAAGAAGAATGTTGAACTCGTATGAATTTTAATTAAATTAGGTTATTAAAATTAAGACAGTAACTAGTATTTTTATGAAATCGTAGGCTTCCACGGCCAGAGTCAGAATTATAGTTTATTCGTCTTCCGGGTTTGGACCGTGTCATTTGTGAGTGACCCAAAAGTGGGTTCATCTCGACGTTTCGCTACAATTGTATGTAGCTTCTTCAGGAGAACAAAGAAAAAGAAAACAAAAGACGGGAAGATGGGTAGTTAGCAACGGTAACTCAGTTACTCAACGCAACCAGAGGCGAATACTAACTACCAAGATGGGCATTTGGTCACAGTAACTCAACTACTCAACGCAACCAGAGGTGAAAACCAAATGCCAGGACAGGGATTCACGTCCAACAGCTCAGAACACTAACGCGTCGAGAGACGGGGAGTGAATCCGACGATTACTCCGCTACCGCTCTATTTATAGTCGCGGTGACCTGTCGTGTCGGGACGTATGGGCACACTCCGTGGCGCGAACGTCAAGAAGCGCGCGCTGGCCAATCATGTGGCTGCATCGTGGTAGCGGGACCGGATGGCGGCTCTAGACTAAGATTCCAGATGGGAGACAAGTAGTATCCTTCCTCTCGATTAGTATTATGTGGATTTTTTCGGATCTCTAGAGATTCGCGGATTTTCCTGGAATAAAAGAAGGGGCTCTTAGATATAATATGGGTTTTTTCGAACAATATGGAATGACCGGTTTCTTGGCAGTGTTCTGCAACTGCAGAATGGGAGAAAAGACCTGATCGAATGCATCTTTGATGCTCTTGAATCCGAGTTTTGACAGAACGACCAGTTTCGCCAATATACACATGTCCACATGAACAAGGAATAGAATAGACACCACAGGAAGATAGGGGCGGTAATGGGTCCTTAGGAGAGGGTAGATATTGTGAGATTTTCTTGGGTGGTCGAAAAGTAGTCCTGATACCTTCTTTGCGACGAATTTTGCCAATCCTATCAGTGACACTTCGAATATACGGAAGAAAAGCCACAGGAGTATTACCCGAAGATTCTGAATTTGTCGTCCTAGGATGTAAAGGGGGATGTAGATGTCGGTGTGTAATATTTTGAATTGTGGACGTGGAGTAACCGTTGGCGACAAGGGTTTTTTGCAGATGGCAAGTTCTTCTCTAAGGTTGTCAGGTTCAGAAATCGAAATGGCCCGATGGATGAGAGAGTTGATCACAGAATTCTTTTGGGCAGGGTGGTGGTGTGATGAAGCATGTAGGTAACGATTCGTGTGAGTCTTTTTTCTATAAACAGAGTGACCCAAACGGCCATTGGGCTTGGAGGTGACTAACACATCGAGAAAGGGAAGGGACCGATTATTTTCTACTTCCATTGTGAATTTTATACTCGGATGTTGTGAGTTAAGATGGTCTAGAAAGGGAGAAAGGGTATGTTGACCATGGGGCCAGATAATAAATGTATCATCAACGTAGCGGAACCAGACTTTCGGTTTTAAGGGGTAAGATTCTAGGGCTAAAGACTCAAAGGCTTCCATGAAAATGTCAGCAATGACAGGGGAAAGGGGAGAACCCATTGGTGTTCCAGATATGTGTTTGTAGAAATTGCCTCTAAAAGAAAAATATGTTGAAAGGAGGCATTTTTCCGCAAGATCTGCCAAAACTAGGAGTGGGGTCTCGAGAAATTGTATTCGCCCCTGGTTGCGTTGAGTAACTGAGTTACCGTTGCTAACTACCCATCTTCCTGTCTTCTTTTTCTTTTTCTTTGTTCTCCTGAAGAAGCTACATACAATTGTAGCGAAACGTCGAGATGAACCCACTTTTGGGTCACTCACAAATGACACGGTCCAAACCCGGAAGACGAATAAACTATAATTAGTATTTTTATTATCATTGAAACCTATTTGTTTATATTTTATAACTTGACTATAAAATTAAGTTGATCAGTAAAATTGGAAGAATTTAATAATTGTGTGTGAATAAGGTAATGTAATGTAGTTTTTAAATAGTGAATACTTAAGTAAAAATAATTCTATTGGAAATTTGATGGTCAATTGTAGCGTAGGTTGTATATGTATACATATACATCACTATTTCACATTAATAACAAAAAAAATTGTGTAGAACTGTTGTTGGCAAAAATCATCTAAACGGGTTCAAACAAGAAAAAACATTGCTAATAAGACATGAAATAAAATTTAATAAGTTTTTATCCAAAACGAAAAAATGCATCAAAATCTGAGTATCCGTTAATTTTGCATTCCAGTATATTGTTAACATATATAAAATAATAAAACAAATTATCTATATTAAATTCTCTATCAGTTGGATTTATTACTAAATCAAATATCTTTTACAGATAGATCCTACTCTGGATATTAAAAAACACTACGAACAAAGAAAGAAAGCTCTTCCCGCTGAACCTCATCTTAGGTACGTTGGACAAGTGCCTCCTATAATGGAATTAGTACATATTCTGGAACAACACGGACATAGATTGCCACAATTACATCGACATCCTCCTGGACAGCTATAAGGCTTCATTATTATAATTTTTTTTAAGGCAGCCCTGAGAACTCCAATACTGATACACTTCTGACTACTAATACCGAGTGATTTTGATTGCAATTTTTATTGAAAGTCATTAGTGCGCTTATTTTAATCTGTTGATCTGTTTTTCAAGTTATTATTTCTTTTTCTGCAGTGCTCTATCGGGCACTGGATGATGGATTGTATTGATACTTTTTGAAGATTCCATTTTTAAATATACGATGTTCGTCCAAAATGTATCTAATATTCGTTTATAACTCTGGAATGTTTTATTATTTGTCATCCAGCTCGTGTTATTCTTTAAAATAATTCCTACTCGACTTAAAATACTCCCCCATTGGTGTTTGTCATTGAAGCAGTTTTAAAATTAAGTTTTTGTAATGGCCTTCAAGATGTCATCGCCTTCATGTGAATCGTCTTTGTTTCGTCGAAACGTTGCCTTTTAAGTGCCATTTTCAGTTTTAGAAACACGAAAAGGTTTAAGGATGTTATGTTGGAACTGTGCGGAATAGTGTAACCTTGTGTTTTACCAAAAACTGTGGCGCAAGGCTTGATAACTGTCCTGACGAAGTATCTCAAGGAGGAAACTAGTCGCTACTCAGCCACTTCAAGAGAAATACGCTAGGATGGAAACTTCCATTGTAAAACCTGTTGTTTTGTTACGGGATTATTGTAAACCCACGATTTATTCCTAGTAGTAGTCTCTTTAAGCATATTTCATATTTAACAGCCATTTCTAAGTTGTTCAGAGCGACTTCTAAACGAAATTTTCAATCGTTAGCCATATACGTTCAGTATATTTCGGTGTTACAGTAGTGGAAAGCTGACCAGAACGCAGATCCCTTTAAACAAACGTGCCACCATTTTATAACTGAAACATTTTTCATCTGAGTTTCGCACATACATTAATCTCCAAACTACTTTTGTATCATTGCACACATTTTTCGAGTTCAATCCATCATTTTTAGCGATAAAGAAATTGTACAAACGCCAAGGAGAATATGTGGATAGAAACATGCTATTACCAAGTAGACAATTCTCATTGATAAACAATAACTGTTCAAGATCATGAAGAGTTATTAATTGTGCTTGTGACCATTGAGAACACCGGCGCTAGAAACTTTTGGAGTGAAATTATAAAAGAAGATTGGATACTTTAGGGAATCATTTCTACATACATGTATATCACCAAATTATATTTTTTTTATTTATAAACATGTTTATTCATGTCAATATTTTTATTTATTCATTATTTTTTTAATTTTACAGCCCTGAAAACTTTTATCATCGTCTAAACAAAATATAATTAAAACATTTGAATTTAAAAAAATTGTGCAAAATTAAGGAAATTCATAAAATGCATGCGTATATCCAAAAATGTGCTAAATTAAAAATCCAATTTGGCTCCGATAATTCAGGCTAAATTCAAATTTCGAAAAATATGTTTTCATAATGCATATTGATGAATCATCTAGTACGGGTACATTTTTTAATTTGGATCAATGAATGTCTTTCATTTATTTTTTGAGACAAACCTACTTTTTGAAACTGCCATATTTTAATCAATTAATTTAATCAATTTCTACCAATTTTTTCGAATTAATATTTCAAGAAACATCTTTTCAGTTCTAAAAAAGATTTTTGTTTTATTTTTCACAGAAAAATTGCCAAGTTTTTCTAATAATTAAAATTTTTATTGATAAGTACTGATTAGTTAGTCCTGTCTGCTGGATATTTGCAAAAACATCATCAATTTATTTATACGAATTAAATTAAAAGAAATAAGTCAAATATAATCCGTTAATGCATAAATTAAGAAATGATCGTGCGGTAAACGTTTTTGAAGTTTTTTTTCAAATTTCTGTTTGGATCTTGAAAGCTTGGTGCAATAACTTACGAAGGTGATGTGATGGTTCAAATTTTCGGGAATTCACAGGTTGTCTAAAAATGGTTTATGTAGTAAATTAATATTTAAACTGTAATAATCAGAATTATAGGAGTTGCTTTCACTACTGATAGCAGATTGGTGGATTATAAACCAAAAATATCGATTCAATAAATTGTCGACGCACGTTTCGATTTATTATAATCTTCCTCAAGGTTCTTCGTTCTTGAATATTTCGTTTACTCGGTGTTAATTATGATTATTAGTGATATTAGTATACTGCTGGTAATCGGAAATCTCAAGACTTGTATACTTGTACACAAGTTGTATACTGAATATTAAGCACACAAAATAATTTAAAGATAATATAGATAACTATAAGATGTAGGATATGTTGTAGGTCAAACTGACCTTCCTTTTTTCCAATTCAAAGTACGCATACATATTCAGCACAGTTGCTGTGCTTGGGAGTTTAATGGTTTTCCAGACATACTCTAAAAATAAAAACCCTTGAAAACATGTTCTACCGTTTCACAAAGTTGTATAAGTATTTCTATTACTTGTATAGTTTGACAGGAAACATGTTCCATATTAATTTAAGGTTACGCAATATTATCCCTCGTTATTAGTACACTAGTTGCCAAAATTTTGCAAACTTTACGAACATTGGAGATTTGTTAGCAATATACCTCTTTTTCACACGACTTATGTTATTTACAAAATTATCTATAACTTTATTGCATCGTTATATGCCTCTACTTAATATTTAAAGTTTATTTTAAGGGACAAACCCTTTAAACATTTAAAAATAAATTAAACAACTGAAACTTTAAATAGTACCAAAAGTAGTTGGAAAGAAACACGCTGTTTGTACAAAACTATCAAAATTCAAAATTTCCAGTGGCCAATATGTGAATCAATAATCACCGTTCTTGATCACATTGCTTTGTTTGACGTATTCTTGAAGAATAAATGTTTTAATTTCACGGTTTTAAGATCTGTGGGTAGAAACGAGACATACTACAAAAAATAGTAACGGAAATAATGTCATACTTTGCAAATATCCAACAGACTATAACTAAGCATAATACATTTATTTTATAATATTGGGAAACACTCTTTAAAAAATATAAGAGATAAAGATTGACAAACTATTACACAGAAAAAAAGAAAACGAAATTAATTATATTTTTTTTTTCTCTTGTGGTTTTATACATATTATTTTCACAGTGAGCAATAAATACGCATCGCTACGTTAGCAAATTTTTTAAGTGATTTTTCCAAGTAAGTTCATTTTACTATCAGATCAATTTTACTATGAGATATAATTTGCTTTTTTTCCAAATTGTGTGCATAGCTTGAACGTTTGTAGGAAATCATAATCATATTCTTTATTAAATTAAAGATCGAATTTTCCTTTTCTGGAAGCTATCTCTAGAACAAAAACTTCTTTTAGACTCAATATTAATTTAATTTAAATATAATTAAATACTGTATACGTATCCAAACTGTATCACAATCAAGTTGTTTCAAATAAATCATTTATTTGGATTTCGATTGATTGATTGATTTTGATTCATCAACGACCGTCTATGCTACACATCACATCTGATTTGTATACTTTTAATGTATTGTTTACACAAAAAACGGCGATGCCGTACCCACGGCGTAATGGCTCCATAACGACCATATTTTTTATTTATTCGTTTTTTTACTCCAATCCCCGCTACAACTTTTGAAACGTTTAATGTTTTCTCATTCATTTTATTTAATGTTTTTCTAAATTATCTAGTTTTTGCGTACGTTTGTTATGACTGGTATTGTAATTGCTTCAATTATTTTTCTTCTGGCCTTAATTTCTAGTGACTTATGACTTAAAATTCAATTATTCGATGTATTAAAATCTTGTTAATTTTTTCCTTATTACTTATCCTTGTTTTGTGCCCCAATGTACTTGTACAATATACTTGTAATTGCAGCTATTGCTATTGCGGTGGCGACTCTTCTCATGACATCCATGTACTTGTAATTCTTTGACTCTCTTCGCCTCTGTTCTGTTCTCCCGCCGCACTGAGTTCGTGTACCTGACATATAGAGTATGCAGTGGTGTTAATTATTTTAGTTATAGATGACTATAACAGTTATATCGTTAGAAGCAGCATCAAAAACATCGAAATACGATAATAACATACGAAATTTAGATATTAGATCTTCTTCTTCTTCTACTTTTTGTAGATCTTTCGATCTGTTTAATTCTGAAGCTGCCTCTGGTTAATTTCTTGGGAGGTAGATTGCCAACTATCCCTCCATCTTTTAGGTGGTCTTGAACCGGGCGGATTATTTTCTAGGGCAATTTTTGGGAGTCTATTCTCATCCATTCGTCTTACATGGTTGTACCACATCCTCTTGCGCTGCCTTCCCCATCTTACAATATCTTGAATTTTGCACTGCTCTCTAATGTTTGTATTTCTCACTCTGTCTCTTCTTGTTTTCCCCATTATTGTTCTTAGGGTTTTCATTTCGGCAACCCTTAGCATCTGTTTCGTTTTGTTGGTATCTTCGCGCACTTCTATGCCATATGTCATGATCGGTCGTATGCAAGTCTTATAGATTCTAATTTTACTATCTGTGCGCATATACGGATTTGACCAGACTATCTCCCGCAGACATCCTGACAGAGCATATGCTTTGTTGATCTGACTCCTCAGGTCCTTTACTGGGTCGTGGGTGCTTGATATATCTATGCCCAGATATCTGAATTGCATCACCTGTTCTATGGGGTTGTCCTCAACCACTAACTTACATCTGAGCGGATCTTTTGTTATTGTCATACATTTAGTTTTGTTGGTATAGATGTTCATATTTAGTAGTCGGCTTGTTTGAAAGAACTGAAAGAGCTGCCTTTGGAGATCATCTTCTGATTCGGCAATAATTGCTGCATCGTCTGCGTAACACACCATACCAATTCTTTTGTTGCCCATTCTATATCCGAGATTAAGAGATGTTACTTTGTTGATAATTTTGCCCATGAGAAGATTAAACAAGAAGGGGCTTAAACTGTCGCCTTGTCTAATTCCTCCCGGTGTTGGAATATTTTCAGTGAATTCGTCTCCTGCTCTAACTTTGGTTACGTTGTTGTTATTTAGGTTATGGAGGATCTTTGTTATACTGGTCGGTGTTTCATTTTCTATTAATATATTTAGAATGTCTCCCAGGCGAACTCTGTCAAATGGGTTTGTCAAATCAATGAAGCAAATATACGCTGGCATGCCGAACTCTATAGCTTTTTCTTTTATTTGTTTTATTATAAATACTGCGTCTGTTATAGACCGCCCTTTTGTAAAACCTTGTTGTTCTTCAGCATTAGTGATTTGCTTTTCCAATTTGTCCTTGAGAATACCCGTGAAAAGTTTCATTGTTGTATTTAAGAGGGTTATTCCTCTATAGTTTTGTGGGCAGGTTTTTTGTCCTTTTTTAAATATGGGGATTGTGATACTATTATGCCATTCCTCTGGTGTTTCTGTTTTGTTTAATATTTTGTTAAATAGTTGTGCCAGTTTACTTGCAAGTTCCGGGCCTCCATATTTTAAAAGTTCATTGGGTATACCATCCGTTCCCGGTGATTTTCTGTTTTTTAGCTTTTTGATCTTTGCTTCTACTTCTTCTTCATTGATTGTAGCACTCACATCTGTTTCGCCTTCGTTTATATTCAGCGTTTCTTCAGCATCATATAGCTCTTTAAAATGCTGTTGCCATGTCTCTATAGGTACTCCTTTGGTCTGCACGAACTCGTTAACTGGTTTTTTCCTGTTGCGGAGCATTTTCCATACTTTCTTTTGGGCACCATATAGGTCGTAGTCCATGTCGCAAGTGAATTTGGCCCAATGTTCTCTTTTGATTGATTTTATTCTGGCGTTTACTTCGTTTCTTATTTGGACATATTCTGCATGAGCTTCTTCCGATTGCGTGCTTTTATATCTCAGGTAGCATTTGCGTTTTAATTCAGAGAGTTCTTTTACCTCTTGACAAGACCACGGTTTGGTGTGGTTTGTCGCTCTCGTGTTAATTTTCCGCTTTCCAATCGCTTCTTCTGCTGCTTCGTTGATGCATTTCTTATTTTTTTGCCAAGTATCTTCTACTCCCCATTCGGGTTTTAAGTCGATCTCTTGTAGTTTGCTGGTAATCCTGTTCTCATAGAACAGTTTTGTACTCTCTGTTGCTAGCGACTCTATATTATGTTTTTCGATGAATATTGGGGGTTTTCTGTTTCGTTGCGGACGTTCTAGTAGCATCTTGCATAAAACAAGGTTATGATCAGTCCCCAGGTTAGCAGATGTTAGTGCTCT